TGTGTCTTTATACATGGGATATTTATATAAAGCCTACGTTTTGAGTAATCGAACTGAATTTTGATATTACAGTTGATAAATTAATTCTTCTAGATGAGGAATAATATTAACGATTTCAGCATTCTTACAATCGAATGATAGGCTATATACTGCATGTAATGGAATAAAATATAGAAACTATCCCTGAATTTTACAGCCCTTTTGTTCACTATTTACATTATTCGGACTATTGTCCTCATCTTTGTCGCCATATTTATTACAACGTTTCGGCCGTTGTATGGTCCGGCCTTCTTCAGGTGGTTGGAATGTCGAACTGAACCCTTTATTTCGCTCACTGGGGTAGACTGTTCTAGTTCCACGTGCCATGTTTAATGGATGTCAGTTATCAGTTATCTCCTGTTAATTCGCCTCTGCAATTTCTCCAATGCCTTAACCGGGTACTGAATTCACACTCTTTGGGTCTTGTCACTGGATCTAACCAACGCCTTTACCCACTGTGCCATGTGTCACTGACGAAGAAGACCGAAGCGTATAACGGCCGAAACGTTGTAATAAATATGGCGACAAATATGAGGACAATAGTCCGAATATTGTAAATAGTGTACATTTACCTTTTTGTTCAGTAATGCGTGACACAGAAATTTTCCATATTTCAAAAACTGTAACTAAAATTATAAATTTAACCTCCTTTTAACAGATATAATTGCACAAAAGTATCTTGAAATACTAAAGAGTAAATTCATTCAATAAATTTTTCTAGGCAAGATAATACTTTCAGAAAACAATATTAATATTGATACTGGTTTCACATCGTAATAAGGCCTTTAATCTTATACTTTCCTTAACATCAAAATAATTTATAAATCTAAATTATATTTTTAATTATGAGTATTGTTTTTATTTGACTATAATCGCGTTATTTTTCTCATCGTATCTTAATTTTGTTTATTTTGCTTTGCCTATCTCAAAATAACATACTTACATTTTATTTTAACATATCACCTATGTAAAAACCTCACCGATATTTCAAGTCTATATTTTAAAATTTTATTAACTGTTAAATTTTTTCAAACTGCTTATCTAGCAAATTTGGCAATTGAAAAAAAAAATCAACGTTAAATCATTATACTTTGATAAGACTCACGTAAAACTGGCGAAACATCAACAAGATCATTTTCAACATCCAAGAATTTTTCATGTTCTTTACATTCTTCGGATTTTCCACTTTAGCCATTTATCATATATATATATATATATATATATATATATATATATATATATGTTTGATTGAAAAATTACAATCATTATATCTGCATATTTTTATCATAACCCTATCATAATCAAGAATATTCGTGAATATGAAAAGTTTATGATAAGAATAAACAGACATAATGTTTGTAATTTATTCACTTAAACATACCTGAAAGAGAATTTTCAGCCTAAATAACACACACACACACACACACACACACACACACACACACACACACACACACACACACACACATATATATATATATATATATATATATATATAAATGAACACAGAAGTCAATACTAAGAAGCGACAGGTTGTTTCATGCTAGACGCAATTGTCAACCTGACGATTGTGTCTAGTATGAAACAATCTGTAGCCTCTGAGTATTGACTTTGGTGTTCACGTTTATATTTACATACGATCTGTCTCTGATATTGAGCACTTTATCCCATAAATGTAGCACACCTTAAAACTATATATATATATATATATATATATATATATATATATATATATATATATATTATAATCATTTTCTTTTTAAAAATATGATTCCATCGTACACTGAAAATTTCCATGTTTCAAAACTGTAACTAAAATTATAAATTTTACACTGACATCTCATTTTAAAAGGCTATAATTACACAAAAATATCTTGAAATACTAAAGAGTAAATTCATTCAATAAAATCACCATTAACTCTAAGCGCGGCCCCTAGACGACTTCGGAATCACCAGTAACTCTTCTGAACAGTTTCCTTGTTTAAGTTGGTGAATACTTCCATAATTCTTGCCTTCAGTTCATCTTTTGCGTTACAAGGAGTTTGGATGGTCTCTCGCTCAACTGTGTCCTACACATAATAATCAAGGGAGTTGCAGTTTGAGGAGTTTATTGGCCGGATGTAAGGGGTAATGTGGTTGCAGAAATTGCCTAACAGCCGTGACTGGGTTCTCCTGCTTTTGTGGCATGGTGCAGAGTCCTGTTGCCTGACATAGTGTCTTCCAGCAGCAACACTTTTGACCTAGGGCAGCACTGTCTCCTCAAGGCACTTGATGTAAACCTCCCCGTTGAGCCTTGGGTCCAAACCAACAAATTCCGGAGTTCTTTTCCTTTCAGAACGATGAGAGTGAGTTTTCCGAGTTGCAGTACCTTCGTAATCTCAATGAGACTCATCCAACTCTTTCCGAATCCTTTGCACTGTCCTCAGAGTAACACCCTAACACTCTGGAATGTTCATACTGGAGCTTCAGTACAGCATGCCGTTTCTAAATTTTTGGATGAGTGAATTCCATCATGGTGCTCTTTTTCTCACAGACGGGGCCCAACTGACCCTACTATACTGTGTAGTCATCAAGCTCAAAAACAAACGACGCGCATGAGTGATATTAAAAATATAAAATGCCGACAATTTACCACACGCACCTAGTATATATATATATATATATATATATATATATATATATATATAGTCTGCGTTAGAAATACCTCCTACTTATACGTCCCAAAAATGCCTCCCATTAAAGATATAAAAAAATAATGGCAGCGATGTCTTCGTCTAGCCAAAATATCTTGCCATGATAGGGGGGGGGAAGTAATTCTGAGAGGTATAAGTGGAAGGTATTTCTGCCATAACCCTGTATCAGGAAACACACACACACACACACGCATATATATATATATATATATATATATATATATATATATATATATATATATATATATATAGGGAAGCACTTAAAATTTCGGAACAATAATGAGGTAAATTTATATTACACACCAAATCTCAATTTTCACATTTCTCCTTGCCACTCTATCTAAGTTTATTGTTAATATCAATCATCTAGTTCGAATATATATATATATATATATATATATATATATATATATATATATATATATATATGATAAAATATAGTTTTAAGGTTGTTATATTTATTGGTTAAAGAGCTCAATATCAGGGATAGAGCGTATGTAAATTTATGTAGACATTGCCATTTAGCATGAAACAGACTGTCGCCTGTTGGTGTTGACTTCATTGTCCATTATATATGATACATGACCCGTAGATTTGAAATCAGTGGCAGCAACTGACGTTAAGCAGGAGCGAATGTAAACGGATACATATTGTACATTAGACAATGTCATTTCCTAAGAAATATAAGTGATATTCTAACAAAATGTGGGACAAGTTATATTCTTTGTAAATTTTACTACATAAAAAAAAAAAATCACAATTGATGAATAAATAGATTCTTTAAGAAATCAGTAAATAATTTAAACGTGTAGACGTATAATCTATACGTTTAAATGATTTACTGTTCATGACCCATTTATGAAAAATAATTTCTTAATTTTTACTTCTTCCCTGAGATTTAATTTAACGTAGGTCATATTCGATTGGTTGATCTGGGTAAAGGCCACAAACCTTATAATCACCCCCACTTTTCTTTTCTTTTTTCGTAAAAAGAGGCTGTATTTTCCTTTGAAATCTGAATAAATCGTTCACTTGCCAGTAAATTACAATCGTCTGATGAGATGTGTTGATACGCATCGTAACACGACTGCATCGTCTGATGAGATGTGTTGATACGCATCGAAACACGACTGCAATTGTGTATCGATTTTGACATTTTCGATGTAGTATCCTAAAATAGAGTATATATATATATATATATATATATATATATATATATATATATATATGTATGTATGTATGTATACCGTATATACTCTCGTATCGTGCGACCCCCAAATTTTCACTTATAAGAAATGATTTTATCATGTATTTCGTGTATCATGCGAGTTTCTTTTTTTGAGAGAATAAATTCCATTCGACTAACTTCTTTTCCTCTGTCTCTTTATCTCAATTTCTAGTTAAATAAGTTAAAAAAGTAAAAGAGAATGATAAATGTATCGTTTGTAACGCTATACTCGTTGCGTAAACGCATACAGCCATGAACAACCCGGACGAGAAACAACCAAACATCTTTTGAGCGTAAACAATGGCACCTCGACGTGGTGTAATAGCTAGAAAGCTTGTTTTGCTAGATCATTTATGATTGAGTAGTGAGTTCGATTCTCACTGGGTGCCCCGTACTTTCGGTCTTGTGCCACATCTAAGCCGGCCTTAGAAAATCACTATAAACGTAAACAATGGAAAAGAAGCATATTCGTTATTCTTGTATTTTATATATACTTGTATTTTTATATATACTTAATATGTGAATATTACATGCATTATTATTGGATACAGTTAAGTAAAACATCGGTTTTTATCAAAATTATGTTTATTTTAAATACAGTTGTACTTTTTGACTACACTGAATCGACATAAAGTTTGGACAACGGTGTAGCGAGGGTCAGCTGTACATACGCTAATTTTATATCTCGCTTATGATGCGACCCATTTAAAATTAGCTTCAAAATGAGGTCTTCAATCGTTGCATGCTACGCGAGTGAGTCTCTCTCTCTCTCTCTCTCTATATATATATATATATATATATATATATATATATATATATATATATATATATATATATATATATATATATATATATATATTTATATTGACAAGGGACAACGCTTAAGCTCTTTACTGCATTTTTCTTGGATTAGTACATGTGATTTCTCTTCTGGTCTACTGTGTACAACTGTTCTAATATTTTTTAATTAATATCTCCAGAAAAGAATACATAATTAAAAAGCTTAATCGCAATGCTTTGTCTGTAGTCTTCTATGAAACCTGTAAGTAGATAGATAGATAGATAGATAGATAGATAGATAGATAGATAGATATGAACCGACCGAAATAGATAGATAGATAGATATGAACCGACTGAAATAGATAGATAGATAGATAGATAGATAGATAGATAGATAGATAGATATGAACCGACTGAAATAGATAGATAGATAGATAGATAGATAGATAGATGTGCGTGCATGTGTGTGTGTCTGTGTATCTGTGTGTACCTGTTTAAGGAATGTCAGTATAAATAAAACAAAGAACAGCTTAATCGTAATGTCTTGTCTGTTGTTTTCTCTGAAACCTATATATATATATATATATATATATATATATATATATATATATATATATATATATATATATATATGAAAAAACTGAAATCGATAGATAAAGAGGTAGATATGAACCGACTGAAATCGACAGATAGATAAATAGATAGATAGATGTGCATGTATGTGTGTATATATGTTGAACCAACAGCAGTAGAAATAGAATAAAGAACAGCTTAATCGTTATACCTTTTCTGTCGTCTTCTATGAAACCTGTATATATATATATATATATATATATATATATATATATATATATATATGTGTGTATACGTAGATAGATAGCTAATTAGATAAATAGATAGATGTGTGTGTGTGTGTTTGTGTGTATCTGTTAAAGAAATGGCAGTAGAAATAGAATAAAGGACATAATTATGGCCTAACCCAAACAACGTGTCATTAGAAAGTTTGTAAATTTTATTTATTTTGTTTCTGAATTCTTGATAAGTTATGAATACAAACCCCAAACGAAAATTAAATGGGAATAAAAGTTGTTTTCTCGGAATGTCTTTTTTAAATACAGGGTGTCCATAAAGTTCGTGTGTACTTTAAAAATTTCTAACTTTATTTGTATTCGCGATAGAAATAATTTGTAAAAAGGATTAGAAAGAAGTAAATCTATATTTTTTAAGGTTTTATTGAAATTTTATTTAAGTTTCCACATATCCCCCATCATTAGCAATACAAAGGGTTATACGATTTTGCAGTTCACGGAAAACATTTGCCAACTGATTTACAGTAATGTCTGAAATCACATTACTTATTTTTAGCTTTCAAATCTTCTAATGAACTAGGTTTGGTTACATACACAATTGTTTTCTCATGTCCCCATAAAAAATCTAATGGAGTCAAATCTGGCGAACGTGGAGGCCAATAAAATGGTCCACCCCTTCCGACACATCTGTTAGGAAATTCCTGATTTAGAAACTCTCTAACACGCAGAGCAAAGTGACAAGGAGCTCCATTTTTATAACATTTTTTTACAGATTATTTCTATCGTAAATACAAATAAAGTTGTAAATTTTTTAAAGTTCACACGAACTTTATGGACACCCTGTATTTAAAAGCCCTTCATGATTTGTGCACTTTGGAATTGTAGCAAGTTTACTAAAAGATTCCTATTTTTTTCCCTGTCACTACTTTCAGATTTGGTTAGAAAACATTTATTTTATATTAGAAAATATGACAAAAAATGTCACTGAAAAAAACGTTTCTTGCATGATTTTTACAAAACATCTCATTAAAAACTGTGTCTAACTTCCATTTCAAGACTTTTTCTAATTTTTGTGATGTCAATGAACCCGTGTAGCCACCTTTTTAATGTCAACGAACATTCGTTGCCACTTTCGTAATGCTCGTTGTTGTAGATAATTTGTAATCGCAGATACAACTATAGTAACGCCGTTGAACAATAATGGCGCCAGACGCCTTGAATATCACTCGCACTAATAGTACTTACTCGATAATACTCTCTCGAATAATCATGCGTATAGAGATCTGTTGTGGTCTTGTTAGGGCCAGCTATAAAGACACAAGAGAGGAATTGAGTTAAGCAAATATATTAACAGAAAAAAGTAATAAAAACATATACAAACGAGAGTGTTACAGCAATAATGTTCGGTCCGACTGTCAGAGCTGGCTGCTGGAAACTTCACTCCTAAAAGGGCCATAGCTGCTTTTATTTATAGATGGAATAGTCCATGCGTGCGTGGGTAAATTACCAAAACATGATCCGAATAGAGAAATAGTATAGTAAATAGAGAAGAGAATAGCGGCTCGTATAGTAATAGAGGATAGATTAGAATTGGAGGTCTGTATCGTAACAGAAGATAGATCAGAATTGGAGGTCTGTATAGTAATAGAGAATAGAAGAGAAATGTGATCCTTAAAACGTCACGTGACTTTTTATGTATGCGTTTCATCTATGGTCCCGTGATCTACTTAATTCAATAAAGGGATCGCCTGTGTTTGGCCCACTGGTGATCTATGTTCAAACTCAAGTATCGGCAGTGACACTTTATTTCTATATAACACTATTTAATAATGAACTCCGATAAATGTCATTGACAAACATTTTTTAATTCTGGAAAAAAAATGGCTAAAATATTTTACTGCGGTTCCATGTTAATTCTCATTGAAGACTATAAAGGAATGTAGACGGTCTTTTGGAAGATTCTTGTTCACTTCACTAGATAGTAAACGAGAATTTAACTTTCCTTGTGGCATTTTTGGAATCGAACCATAACTGGAAATAAAAATGTTGTTTTACAGAATGATAGTATTTACTTGATTTCCACATAATCAAGATGTGACACAAGGTCGTTTAACGTGGGAGACCCGAGTGTTTCCACTCAAGGGCCACTGGTCAAAATTGGTCATAGCTTGTCCAAGCTGGTCAGAGCCTAGTCAAAGCTGGTCATGACTTGTCCTAACAGGTCCAGGCCGGAGCCAGTCCAAGCTAGTCAAAGCCTTGATCGAATCTCAGCCATAGGCCAAGAAACGATCCATTATTTGTCAAAAACCCCAGCCAAAAGGCCGGGTGAGTTTTACAGAATGATGCTGAGAATATTGTGGATGGAGTTCGTAAGCAACGAAGTAGGCTTAAGGAAAATGGAAACAAAAAGTAAACAGCATCTTTAAAATAGAAAAGAATTGAAATTACTTGAACAGACAGTGAGAAAGGAAGGCTTGAAGAAGTTGACACCCACAGGATATACCGAAGGCAAAAGGAAGAGGGGAAAGCGGCGGTTGAGCTGCCTGACGAGGATTTGTGAATGGATGGCTGAACGGTGGTGATTTGGGGAGAGGGGGGCAAATTGATAAAGGTCGCTGAAGAGGTACGGCACATAGAAAAATAATCTCTCTGTGGCTGTATTGCTGACAACTATATATTCTGTCTTCCGACAGTTCATCACCATCCACATCTTCCTTCGACCTCCCTATGGTTGGTCGGAACCCCATTGATAATCCCTTTCCACATTGTTCAGTCTTATATTGCTGTCCGCAGATCTCCAATGTCCAACCCTCAGTCCCGAGTTAGGGTGTCTAGGAAAGTCAAATTTCTTGAGAAGACGCTTCCAGAAGGGTACCATAGTAGTAAGGATGAAACGATTTCCTTGTCCGCTCGGTGGCAGTGGCCATTAAACTGTAATTATTCTTCCTTTAGCTAAAGCGAGATTGGTCTCAGTTTTCCGTAAATTGTGTTAAGCTTTGCATGGGATCTCTAACTGATGTTCAGGATTTTTCTAAATAGATTTGGATATGTTCAATCGAGTCGTCTTCCAAGACGAACACATAATGCCCAAGTTTTTGATTCATACAGTAGGAATGGTACAATCAGTGTTCGAAAGGTTTGAACTTTTAGGGATAATGTAAGGTTTGGGCGCCAAATCTTGTGAAGTTTGTTACATGCATCCCATGTTTAATGGATGTCAGTTATCATAAATAACTAAGTAATAAATAAATAAGTAATAAATAAATAATAAATACATGACTGACGAGGCACTTTATCCCGCAGTAGGTTGCTATTTCTTTCTGCAGTAGACCAGTTGCCACCCAAGGCTTTGTTCGGTCCTGCATTACTGTCCACAGATCTCTAATGTCCAACCCTCAGTCCCGAGTTATGGTGTCTAGGAAAGTCAAATTTCTTGAGAAGACGCTTCTCGAAGGATACCATAGTAGTAAGGATGAGATTATTTCCTTGTCCGCTCGGTGGCAGTGGCCGGTAAACTGTAATGATTCATGCTTTAGCTAAAGCGAGATTGGTCTCAGTTTTCCGTAAATTGTGTTAAGCCTTGCATGGGATCTCCAACTGATGTTCTGGATTTTTCTAAATAGATTTGTACATATTCCATCCAGTCGTCTTCCAAGACGAACATATAATATATAAGTTTTTGACTCATACAGTAGGAATGGTACAATCAGTGTTCGAAAGGTTTGAACCTTTAGGGAGAATGTAAGGTTTTGGGCGCCAAATCTTGTGAAGTTTGTTACATGCATCCGATACAAGAGCTTTGTTTATATTGCAACTATGATGAGCGAACCTTAGCTGCAGTTTCTGGGAGAGAGCGTTATCTATCGTGATGCACAGGCTGAACCAGGCTAGAACACTCAAACCCTCGCTCACGATGACTTGTGACTTCGTGCTCGCACAACTACCGATGCCTCCCAAAGGTTCTGTGGACCCAATTTCACTCACAAGGTCGACCGTGCTTTCTTCTGGCGTCTGTCTGTCTTTCCAAAGGATCGACTTCTGCAGACCGATAACAGCAAGAAGTCACCTTCCTGAGATTCGAACGCGGCTGTCATGGTTAGATAGCGCATATTCTAACCACTTGCTCACATGCCCAGGTGTCGTTCTGAATAGGTCAAATAAATGCGGTGAGAAAACCCATCCTTGTTTACTCCACGGGTATCTACTAAAAAATAACCTTTGAAATTATATATATATATATATATATATATATATATATATATATATATATATATATATATAGATATGCATGTGTGTGTGCGCTCGCGCGTGTATGTGTGTGTGTGTGTGTGTGTGTATGTGCCCGTCTGTGTTTGTGTGCGTGTGTATATGTTACCAACCCTCAACAAAGCAAACACTTGAAACCTGTGTTTAGAAATACATCTGTAAGATGACCGCATGACACATCCCCAGTGATGTTACCCTGAGATCTTTAGAAGTTTCGGGTTTATTCAACATTAGACCCATATTATCCTGCTGGTGGTGATCAAATACCAACAGGTGACCGCGCCACGAGCCGTGAGAAAATATTAATCGCAGAATGTAAATGGCTTTAAAAGAGATTTCGGAGCCTCGAAAAACCGCAAATCAACCTTTTTTTCCCCAATCAAATTC